CCTTATCAGACCCAAAAGCTACAACTCTTGTTGCATAGGTCCTGCTTTACCTTGGTCTTAACCATCCAGCAGAAAAATATAAAAATGAAGTATAAGAAGTAAAGCCATGCTGTTATGTTGAGCTATAGGGGATCCAGGTCCACAATTTCTGACATTGCCAGTGAAGCGGAAGACCCAATACTATTATGGACTACTAGACTCTTGTAGAATATTTTGCTGAGTTTATACACCTACAATATTCAAATAACGGAACTAAACAAAGAAAGGGGATACAGATGAATGTCCATTTTGTATCTGTGTATTCAAAATGGTTAGGATAGATATAGTTACATTCTCTTAATGAATAGAGGGATTTCTTCTAATAGTGTTTGTAAATAGGACATCATGTGCGCATCTTGTACAGTAATTGACCACTAGGAAGAGAGTATGCAATGTGCTAATTATCGAAACTGTCCTACCAATTTGGTTTGAAACTATCTCATTGCTATTTGTTTCTCAATAAAATTATGGGAAAAAAGAGAGAAGCTACTCTATCAGTCCTTGAGAGTCCCAAATGATACAGCAAGCCAGGAATAGGTAGGCTAGATGCGCAAGGTGTGATGCAACAGTGTCACTGGGAGAACAACCATTAAGGATTTCTAGGAATAGCTATTGTTTACGACGTAATCTCTGAAGAAATCCTTTAAGCTCTTTCCTTTTGCTGAGAGGTATTTTCAGAGAGCTCCTGGATTCCTAAACATATCCAAGGGTCACCCAAAGACTCTATGAGCAGAACTAAAAAATTCAAAAAATAGAAGTCAAAACATACCCATGGTAGTTAAAGAACCATTGCAAATTTGTTTACATGTCTTTAAATGATAAAATCTCACTCTCAAGGGTAATGAAAGGATACTGGATTAAATATATGGTGGAGAGTCAGAGACTCCCGCTGGGTGAGAACTCCCCTCCACTTCAAAGATTTCATGATTAACATACTTTGAACTTACCTAGGTATTTCGGATAAAAGTAATCCTAGAAAAAAAGAAAAGAAAGAATACATATTACCAAACTTAAATGTAATTATTGAGGTAAGACTTAATTTTTTTGTGTTTTGTTTTGTTTTGTTTTGTTTTGTTTTGTCTTGTTTTGTTTTGTTTTGTTTTGTTTTTGGCAGAACTGGGGATTGAACTCAGGTCCTTGCGCTTGCCAGACAAGCACTTATTCTACTGAGCTATCTCCCTGGCCCCAAGACTTAATTTTATAATGTTTTTCTAATAAAGATGGAAATAAATTAAATCACACATTTTCCTGTTACTGCTTTTACTATAATAAAGTATACCAAGTAAATAAGTAATACCAAACCTATAATATGTCTAAGCTAAAGGCAGCATTAATCAATTAAATAATCTTTGAAAAACTTCAAATCTGAAAGTAGATTTTGTTTAAGCAGATGAGGATGGGACAGAAAACGTACACAATAACAAGTACATTGTCCTTTCCCTTCTTTTTTCCCATTTTTGCCTGTGCCCTCTGGCCCCTCTTTCTCTTCTGTCAAAGCAGCAGTTCTGGGACAGTGGGGACGAACAAGTGCGCCAACGCTTTCTCCTTCCCCAGCATCTTCCCTCTGTCCCATAGTCTTCTACTGACTTTCTTTTTGCTCCTTAGAGGTGCAACTCTAACAATTAGGTAATAAATAAATAAATGTGGGGCAAGGTGGTACACGCCTATAACTCCAACACTCTGGAAGACAGAGGCAGGAGGGTCTCCAGTTCAAGCCTAGCCAGGGCAACTCGGAGACTTAGCAAGGGCTGGGCATGCACCTCCCTGGGAAGCGACAAGGATCAGTCCTCTTCACTACAGCCCTAAAAACATTAGATGGCCCAGGCTCTACAGCCTGGCAAAAGTAGAGAAAAATGAATAAATAAGCAAATAGCTAAGTAGACCTAAAGAACCTTATGCTGAAAGCGCACAAGCGCATGCGATATTGTACTTGTGTACCTGGGTCTTCAACAGTGCTATCAAATGCTGGTTAGGGAAAAAATATTTACAAGCCACCTGTCAATATCATCTGCTCATAATGAGGTATGAGTGAATTACAGTTCCGTCGGAGCACATCGCTGCCGGCAGTAGCCCACCACTGAGCCGCCTTTCCTTTAAAGGTCTGCCTCCTGCAATGGCAACGTTCACACGTGGAACATGTTGCACAGGATCACTGTGCCGGGACGCCAGCTGGAGACACTCGTCTGCAACTGCATGAGCACGTGTGTGCACCTGGCAGCTCCCACCAACACTTACTGTTTCCAGGTTGTTCTCAAAGACCTCCCTGGCTTCCTCTTTGTTACACAGCTCTTCAATGCATTCTCTTTCAAGATTCCCCTTTTTGGTTTCTTCAAACAAAGAATTCGCACGACGTTTCCTAACCAGGACTTGCGAAGCACGTTGCTTTGACAAAACTGAAGGAAAATAAAGGTTTTATGAATGTTTTTTACAATATATTAAATAATAAGAATTTAAATATGCCCATGAATTGCATGACATTTAGAATTGGTACAATGGAACTGAGTAAAAAACCCAGATGCACAAGCATTTTGATTAAAGATACAGCAGGTTTAGCATGCAGCTACAACTCTATTGTAGTGATTCACTGGCTAAGATACTTACTATGTTATTCATACAGACAGGAAGATAAACATTCACAGACAAAGACCTTATTCTAAGCACAAAATATACAAGGCAAAAACAAACAAACAAACAAACAAAAAAAAAACTGGCAACTTTGCAACTTTGACTACCTAAAAATTTTAACAGTTAAAAGACAATAAGAAAAATAACAGCAAAGTTTAATTCTAACCAAAGTCTGGAAGAAATGACCTGCATCAGCTAAAACAAAAAATT